AGTCATCAAAACAGACAGATATATCACTCATGGGGAATTCGAAATCTCGTCTCCACCATTTCTCAGTTTTAAACTAATTGAGTTATTTCTTGAAAACATTGAATAAATGACTTTTAGTATGGCAAAAATAAAATACTTTTCAGAATACAATGAATTTATTGACAGACTTCAGCAGAACAAGGATAACAATATAACAGGTATTTAATATAAGCTATGTCTTTGCTTCCTGATATGTTTATTAAGTTAGTCAATGAAAAAACTGTATGAACAACTCATTGGTAGAGAGACTGTTAAGACGGTTCCCGTCTCTTTTAGGTCATCACGAATCAATTATATAAGGAATAAACACGATGTCGGAATAATTAATGAGGCCTAACGTATATAACTCTGCCGAAAGTAACTGGAACAATCAATGAACTTGGTAAAAGTCTTTTCTTTTAGATTGATATGCACTTGCATCAGTCAGCATGTGTAACAAAGAGGAAATATTAACTCCTTCATATTTCATGCAAATCATCTCAAAGTTAGTATTTAACTGTTTTCATTATTACAATCCATTATCTTCAACGTTGGCAGTATTTAAATGACGTCAGTGTGACTTCCTCTAATTGAATGAATAAGGATAGAAATCACGTGCATATAACTGACGCATTCAGAAACTGTTGTTGATTATCTGTCATTTCTGCTTTACACTGGTGCTTTGCTTTTCAACAATGCAATCTCTCTATTTATATCAGTCTTCTAATCTTTCTTTTTTTCTGAGCAAAATACATTATATGCTAAATTTCCGTTGGATGTCACTATATTTCACTTCATTGACAGATAGTTTTATCTGTTTTTATTTTCAAACAATGACAGACAGAAACATTTACATTTCGCCTGTAAAAGTGACTTTACTATTCACTGCTTATTTGCGCAACCCAATTCATTGTTTCTTTCCGGTGTTCACATTGTTAGTAGTCAAAGTACTAAACAAGATAGTAACTGTGACTGAAATACGCTGAACAATGAACCGCCACACTTTTTTTTACTCACTATTAATAAAGTTTGCATGAAATAATAAACATTCTACTGTACAGACACATTTTCGATTGCTAATTTCACCTTACCGCTTGAACCCAAATAATGCCTACACACTTTGTTTCTTAGGTTCTGGTGAATGTAAGCACCAATATTTCGTTTTCAGGAAGCAGATTCTAAAATGAGTTCCATTTGTCTGTCATGCTTAATTATCTTTTGATGATACAAACACTCAACATGAAGATTTATTTGTTAGGTTTTTTTTTAAAATTTCATTTACCAACCTATTCCATAAGCATATCATGCTGATTGCCTAAATAATGTGATCAGAAAAAAGATGACAAATTTTCAGTGTTGGGTCCACAGAGGTAAGATATCTATTAGTGAGTGTGTCCGAAAAATGGAGCGCATGACCTTGAGCTGATCTTTTTAAGTATCATTTTTCCAGTTTGCAGAATAAATTTAAGTGAGTTAAGCCTAGTGACATGAAATCTTATAGAAACGATAAACAGTAGACCATATGTTTTTGATAAACTTTATCTTATGATAAGATCCATTAGAAGCCAGTATTTAACTGTTGAATCCTAGTTGTGATACGAAATGTAAATTACCTTTCCCCCCTTTTTCTGGAAGAAACCCTTTATGTCGTGCAGTTGAAAACCATAGTTTTTAAGCAGGTCAGGATATTTTATAAATTTTCAAACGAATGGACACGGAACAAAAAGTACTCTTTTCGATAAATTCATCATCAGGTTCTACAATTATATATACATTATAATGAATGAATGAATTAGTCTTATGAACGACATTAATGTTTAAATAATTTTATAAATAACAAATAAGAGGTCTCCAGAAGAGTAAAACGATGATGAACCAAATATTTTCCAGGTAGTTTAAAATTTAAATCCATCAGCACCCAGTTATTTCATTCCAGTTATGGCAGTTTAAGGTATTATGTATAAGTTTAAGCATAAATTTTTATTCATTTCCTATGATAACGTGACAGTTAACTTCCTAAAATTTTCGGCAAGGCTAATAAATATCAACAAAGGTGATGTTACTAGTTGAATTCTATTTCTGAAACTACACGTAATCTGTCTCATTATTGCTGAATGTTCATTGCATCAGCAAAGCACATAAGTTCGGATAAAGTTGTCGTTAAAACCATTTCATCTCGAATACTAAAATAATTTAGATCGTAGGAATACTAAGTGTGGTAAATTTTTACGCACTTAGCTTAGGATATTTTAGTTAATTACTCACTTATTGATATTCACAGTGACAGGTTTTCATTGAACATGTATAAGTAGTTTTCGTAACGAATTATTTTTAACTGACGTTATGAATAGTTTATTAGTTAACAGCAACAGTAAAATATATCTCATTACAGTTTTTTTTTGCAAAACCACTTCCACTTTGTATATTTGAAAATACATGCGGTTTCATAGCCACAGACTACACGTTTTCCTTTTCCTCGAAAGGTGAAAGTATTGTTTACCAAAATTCCAGCTAAGGTAACTAGAATAAGTGAGATGCAAAGTTGAGCAAAACAAAACTCACTATCGCTATCAACTCAGATTGCCTACTTAATTATTCTCTTTTGAATGAACACTGTTTTTATTATATGCTAACTTTGTGTACCAATCATGCATCAAAGTATGCATTGTATTTACTGTATGACGAAAATTTGTTTTCAAATAAGAAGAATAAAAATAAACTCTCATCTTTGTCTACTACTTTTGTTTTGACAGAGGAAAATTAGGATATTTCCGTTTGAAGTCTTTAATCATTTTTGATGGTAGTGAATAAAATTGTTTAGCATTATGTCATTGACAAGTATTTTCATACAGAATGTTTTGTGTCGGTACAGGTATTAATCAAAAACTCCTCGTGACATATGATTAGGCAAAGATGTCGGCACAGTTAGGCATAAAAAATACCTGTAACCGGTGTTCGCTTATTCTGCAAGCCTAATATGCTTCCTCAATCACTAATGTTACACAAAATTCTGAAAGTGCTGTCTCTTGTTACAATTAATTCAGGAAAATATATAACATTATTAAAATGGAATATTTGTATGAAGAACTAGATTTTATGAAATGTAACCAGCTTTCGTAAGCTATTTTATCAATAATTTCATATTACTTTGCACAGAGTGGAAGTGTCCAATAATAGATCTAATTAATAAACTTGTGCAGTTTGTAGTGAGAGGATAATTATTGCAGTTTTGGTCTAAATATACTAGAACAAAACATATTAAGATAATAGGAATTTTAAAAAGGAGATTTGACTAGGCTGAATGACGTCGCAGATGTACACATTCTACTTATGAGGAAGTTTCAAGAGGCTTGACTTGTGCAATTTTTCCTACATTACATGACAAACTTTAATTACTTCAAACATGACCAGTAATACTTTACGATATATTTATCATCTTGTTTTTCATTTGAGCTTTTAAACATATAATAAATATTCCCATAGTAAAATTTAGAACAACACATTTAAGAGAACAATATTTTTTTCAATTAGATCTCATCAGGCTTAACTCTAATATACATAACTTTACAAATAAAATTCAAATATAAGCCAATCATGGTTTTTTGTCCACAGCATAATAAGATGGTGATTATGAATTGTGCAATTAGTCATAATAGTTGTAATGATAATAATAATAGTGCTTTTATCAACAATAAGGATGAAAAATTGAAGTGATCTGTGATAACACGAATAACAAAAAACAGCATGATTAGACAAACAGATGTCCAGATAGAAGTAGTCAATAAAGGCTAATAAAAAAATGAACCGATTAAGTAATGCTGGATTGTAAGGGAAGCAAATGAAACACGTTTTCAATGAAGATGTAAAAAGATATAATTTAATTTTTCGTTATAGCTTGATTCCATATCGTATTTTTGGTACAAGTATGGAATTTTCAGCATGTGATATCGGTAGCCCAAATTTTGCAGGCCGACCATTGATATCGGGTGTGCTTCGGCAGGGAATCGAACCCCGGACCATGTGCATGGTCGGCGAGAGTCCTAACCGCTATGCCACCGACAGAGGGGTATTTCACTTATGACTTTGACATAGCTTTCACTGCATATGGATATCACTCAAACGGCCCTAAGTAGCTTAAAAATCACTGATGGTAAGCATCCAAAATACTGAAGAGAATTCAGTTCAATAGTCACAGCTCTCAGTGATTATTGTCATTAAACCACTGAGCCGGAATTCATTGATTCAAAATTTTATGATATAAGTCAACTTATAATCTGTCCTAAGAATCATGTTGTGGTTTCAATAATATGTGTAGTGGAACTAACTTACATAACTATGCAGCTCAGGACTACTAATATGAAACATAAATATCTTTCACGAAAGTTTACATACGAAACAATTAAATTAAACTATTATTATGGCAACGCATACGATGATAACAGCAGAGTAATTTTTTAAAAGGACATGGTGCTAATGCACACATTATTCGAAAAAAATGCGTTTAACTAATGCCACTGAATCTCTGTTTCCTTCCATTTGACTGAACTCATATTGAAACATATTTTAGAGGGCAGAAATTGTTACTGCAAGACTTAACAACCCAAAAGTGAAGAAGTTTGTAGACTCTCGTAAGACATTAAAGTGCAACTATTTTCTGCACTTCTGGGAAAACCTGTTACAATCAAGCAGTGCATAAGTGACCAAACAACCAAATCCTACTTAATAGAAAACTGAAAAAAGTATCGTGCCTCATAGAAATCGATGTAGTAAATAAAGAAAAAAAATTGGATGAGTTAATTCAAATCTGGAAAAATGTATATATTGCAAAAAAAGTGGTTGGCGTTTACGAACACCTCATTTTTATACTATTTATAATTTGAGTGACAGTTAAAAGGGAAATAAAAATAAAGCCGTGTTTAGATTTATTTCCCATCAGACTGAAATGAGCATTAAAAAAAATCAACGAAACTGATGAAACTTACTTCACACGTGCATCTTCAATTTGCCGAAATTTATCGAAACGAGCCAGAACTTCTTCTAAATGTTTTTGCTCTTCAATTGTAAGATTCGCATTCCCAAGTGTTGACCCCTTTCTAGGATAGGACCTGGTGCTTCGTAAGCTGCTGAGACTCTGGCTGTCCTGATTAACAGAGCTAAGAGTCCTACTACTGAGTGCATGAGTAGGTGAATTTGATCTTGAACGTATATTCAGTTGACTGGATACAGGAGATCGTGGGAGGACTGAACTCTTTATGTTAGGATGTGGCATCAAAAACCGCAAATGACATCAACGTGTTGGATTATTTAACTGGACAAAAAATGATTTCATACAAAATGACGCAGCATCGTGAAGTGTGGTTAGAAATTTCTTATCAATATATTTATATATGTACAAGCAACCAATCAGAAAGCAATAACTGAAGTCATCACAGTACACATCATAGAAACTTATACCCCATTATATTAATAAGTACTTTCGTCATGCAAACATGGAAGAGTATGTAAAATTCACATAAGGAGTCTCACAGATATTTTGTTTTAATCACTCATTTTGAGTTTTGGTTATCAAGGTCATACTGAGAAGCTTTAAAAAAGTTACTTGTTTACGAGGTATATAGGTAAGATGAAAAACTATGAATTAAGATAGAAATGCACGTTTTTTGAGTATAAATTCAAAGTAATTTTACGCATACTCTGTTTTTCTTCATATTTCCGAATGGAAGCTTATTCATGAAATCCCACTGATGCACAGTGACATCATACAATAGGACAAAAAAGGGGAACAGAGCGTTTAATAAATGAACGTTCCATTGTTAATGACATGCCGCTTACTGTATAGTGAGATACTTTAAATTCTATTCGGTCATGGGTGTTATTGTTGTCGTTTTCATATATCGTCACTAATTACACTGAAAGTTTACACTGGGAAAGTCTTGTCCGTTTTGTAGATAATAAATTTCCCCTGCATGGAAACGCTTACCTTGAAAAAATGAGGACGTTTGGCATACGATTCGCCAATACCAGGTTTAATTTGATGCTACTTTTCTGTATAGAATTCTATTTTTGGAATGGACGGTGAAAGGGATGATTGTAATGGTCACTCCACACATATGGGGAGTCTCATCAGACTTAATAAACTGGTTGCCTGAGGAAACCACATAAAAAGTACAAAAGACAGCTTGTTATCTGCTGAAGGGCTCCATCTTCGGCTCTGGTACGACATCACGTTATTCATTAAGGGATGTTTCCAGTTTATGGCAGTTTACTCCGCTCTACTTTATGGTTGAAAAACAGGTGATGAAGTGGCAGATAGGAGGAGACTGAAGGTCTTTTACCGTTAGTGCTTTCTACCAGGCAAAGCAATTTGGTCAGTTATGGTGATTATTAGATAAGATAGAATTGTGAATCTGTGTCGTTTGACACGTATAGATTATGCATTACTAATACTAAGCCTTTATCGATGAATACCCTAAGCATAAATTAGGAAAGAATTTGGGTTGATAGGCTAAAAATGTTGTAATATTCGTTTAAGTCAGTGACTGTCAATTCCAGCGTAGCAGAAAGGTGTAGTTTACGTGGTTAGGTTCTTTGGGATACTAAGAATCAACGGTTGGGAAGTGTTAGTAGTTTTTATTGACACAGGTGTATTCACTGCCTATTATCTTCCAAATTCTGTAAATTATTCTCTCTTCTCATCATTTACGCCGATTGTAGCTTTATCAGATTTCTGTTTTAGGCCCCTGTGTGTGCTTCTTAGAAGTTCGTTCACTTTAACTTCTGCATTTCTGTGTAAAGCTCTACTCTGATAAACCAGCCACTTTAGGTATCTCTCTACGCACCAACAATATGAGTTGGGTTGCACTTCCGTTTTCCCTTGAATGACCTTTATTTAAGGATGTGGAATGTAAGAGGTTGCACCGTGAAACAAAATCACATTGCATATGGAAAAGCTGAGAAAATGTTTCAGGTTGTTGACATCTCTTGGGTGTTCGAGGTCGTTGAGAATATTCTAAATATGTGAAGAAGCACAGGATGCTAGGTAAAGTTATTCTGAAGTAAAGGAACTGTATGGTTTGAAATGTATGTATGTGATTACTTGTGCTTGTAGAAACTTTCTTCACATTTAGCATATGATACTCGGAACCATTATGAAAAGTTTTTTCCGGATATTAAGAGCTATAGACTTGAAGATGAAGTTAAGCAGTGTAAGCCCCACCACTACAGTAAATAGGAAGTTTTGTGTCAGTTACTAAGTATGGCATACACCCAAGAAGGATGCTTTAATCTGGAGCCACTATTCACGAACCTCTTATATGGCTTTTCATTATTTTTGCCATAGACTCTACTTCTAGCGTAATGAAAAGAAGTTATTATCATACAAGTTAAAAATGGTTGTCTATTGAATTTGAATATTAAAACAGTTAACTTATCTTGAAAAGTCACTCATAAATAGGGTGCTTATTTAAGTTAATAAATGTGGTCTAGCATCTCATCAGTATGGATTTTGTACTGATAGCTGCTGTTCAAATAACAGTTCCGTAGCAATATCAGTAGCTTAAGACAACAACTCACCTAGATCTTGTAGTTCAAGGCTTTAAAATGTTTTCTGATGATTTTTAGGTGGTAGAAATATTGATAAATCTTTATATTTTTATCAAGAACAGTGAAATAAGCGAATAACCATTTATTCTTCTAAATGTTTAAATGGGGGCCATACTTTTCGTTCCATAATTACAACACAAGCTTTGAATTCTTGTGTTAAATCAAACGAGGTTATGAACTAAAGATGAACCATGGAAGACACAGAAAAACGAATGAAATTAAACAACTTTTTATTCGGCAAACAGACATTGAGTTTCTAATGTAGTATATGACATTACACTGTCTTTTTCCATAAATGCACAACATCAGAATTATAAATGAAGGACGCTTGTAGGCCACAAGTGTCTAACAGCTGTTTTCACAGTACCAATCAGGACAACCAACTAACTTGTAGTATCAAAGTGTGTAGTATATACAATGCCAAAAATATTTGAGTGCTAAAGGTAATTTAATTAGTGGTAACTAGAGGTAGAATTCTTGATACACACTTCGTCCTGTTTGGGGATCATCAATTGGAGCGGTGTGCTGTTAAATGTTAGATGGAGCTGCTGTAATTTTACCATGTGTGAAAAGCAGAAAAATCAAGGATTCTTTAAGAGTGACTCTTACTAACATCTACTACTCAAGTAAGGTGTTCAGTAATCGTAAATTTCCAAACCTAAGGACGAATTTAGACAATTGATTGTTGAAATCCGATTGACATATCCTATTTGTACAGTTATTTAAAAACAAACTTTGTAAAATATCGGTATTTAGAGATTCATCACTTCATATTACTTTCAGAAAAAAAATTACAGCATGTTCGCCAGTGATTATGATTCTCAAACATATTTATTAACTTCTTGAGACATTGGCGCATGCTGCATGTCGGAGCCCCCCTCGCCAAGTAGTCATGTTGTGACAACAGATGTTAACCTGCACAGCTATCCTTCCTTCTACAGCGCCACGTCATGGGATGACCACCACTTTATTTTTTCCACCTAGTTCACACCACATGTCTAAACCAGTGAAGCCAGTGTGTCAAGACGACCACACTCAGTGAATAGTGACTTCCGGACCTCGGAATGACTTCAACGATAATGCTATCGGACGCAGACAATTCTACGAAGGTAGGAATCATCGAATGCGAAGAGTTGTCTTGCATCCTCAGCTTAGAGAGGCCAGGTTTCTTAGGAGTAGAGCAATTTTGTGCAAACTAAAGCATTGAAAACTCTGCCTCTGATGGTCAAGCCAGTATCAAGATGGCACCCAAGGTGGTCACTATGTGGTAAGAGATGTTATCTGTCACACCTCTGTTAGCATTCACGCAACTAGCTAGATACACAAATTTATCAGCTACGTCTAAGGGCTCGCCTGCAAAGGTGAGTGAGCACCCTCCAGTCTTGCAGCAATACTATGCACTCAGTGCAAGGCATGTGCCAAACCTATAAACACTGGTAGCCAGCTGATTAGGTGGGATTCGGGCTGCCAGTATGTTATTTAATAAAAAGATAGTATCGTCTGCACACTTAAGGTTAGCAGACATTCTTCAGGCAGCAGGCCTGCACCATATACACACACATCCTTCACAGATGTCCCCATCAATGACAAAGTTAGGGAGAAATGGTAAGATTGGAGACCATGTCTAACCCCACTGTTGGTTGGGAAAGGTGATGATAGCTGGTTGTTTTCGCACAAAACTTTCAGGATGTGAAGGACTTCTGCGGAACACTTCAATTCAAAAGGCAATGCCAAAGTACAGTTCTACTCAGTAAACTGAGATCAGCCCTATAACCACGCAATACAAAGATTGCTGGCTTGGAATACATGTGACAGTGTTCTAGCAGTTGGCGAAGGGTGAAAAAGTAATCATGTGCCAAAGGCCTTCGTGAATCAATTCCTCAAGCATTTTAAAGAGCTTGCGATGTAAGCGGGCGACCAATATTGCAGACAACACCGGCTGTCATATTGATTAATTAGATCCTCTTCGAAGACAGGTATGACAATAGCTTCAATCCATATTTATGGAACAATCTCACATTTATCATACTTCCTGAGACCATACAGTCATGACTACAGTCCAACCAACATCTTTAAAACAACTTGGTATCCGTACTTGTTTGTAATTGAATAAGGAGTATTTCCTGCACCAAGTACTAACTACACTTTTTAGCAGGATCCCACAAGGGCAAGAAGGATTGTCGTAGTGTTATATTATCACAATGACAGAAATTCAGACAACCCATCAAAAACAGACAGTAGTATTGCAGTATTAGAAGCATTGTGTGTAAACCCACAATGCAGTCAATTTGTCATCCATCAGGTAAACGCCGACACCCAACATCAACAAAGGAACAATTAGACATTGATTACTAAATGTGAACAACAAACAGAATTATATTAATTAATCAGGCCCTCTCGTGTACATGTATACTACATTAGAAACTAAACAGACAAGCTCATATGATTCATTGTTTGACAGACACATTAAATGCGTGAATGTAAGAATGTTTATGACTTAGTAGTGCCTTGTGAGGCTTTGGTTCTTGGAGTTCCTTTCAGACCTGTGCTTCTTTAGATGGGTCCGTATTAACGGGCCTCAAAGCATCGTAATCAAGAATATTGAATGCTCTTGCTACACACTACGATTTGTTTTTTGGAGTGCTTTGCCAAGAGTCTGAGAAGTCTTTACAAATTGTTGATCAGCGCACTACCTGCCTCACAGACTGCACAGATTACACTACACTTCTTGTTTCTAGCGGCTCAGTTGAGCAGGAAAAGCTACCGACTTTCGTCAAAAGTTGGTGCTGATTCCTTCTCACATAATGATTAGGTTTCGAGAAAGCACTTTTTGATCTAATGAGTAAGAGTAATGAGTCCTAATCAAGTTATCATACTTCCTGTCCACAGGAAGAGACTTACGGGCACCAGTAATTTGCAAACAAACCACAGAAACCTTGAGTTTTTTAGCAGGTTTTTCTTTAAAATCACAAGCAACTTAACTTACAATTTTCATAGCGTCCTGTCAGCGTAATACACGTTCGTCTTTATTATCTAATGGATTAATAGCCAGCATTGAATCTAGCTTGATTTGATACTTGATAGCAATAAAAGCTGCTATCACCTTCCTACGTCAAACTGTTGAAGACGACCTTTAAGGTCAGAAGATAAACCTGGAATGTACTAAAGAATGATCGGAGTCCAGATAAATTCTCTGGAAGCACCTGCTATCCTATATACGTCCATGCCATCGCTAGCTTACAGCAATACGATCCATTTGAGTCTAGGCTTTAGTGGTAGAAGAAGGACACCAGGAAATACCGCAGCGATGGCTGTGTCGAAAGTTGATGTCTGATAGATATAGGTGGTGATATGTGCAAAGATACGGAAGACGGTCCCCATTATCTAACTTGCTAGCAAGTGGTTACCGTTGACCACCTATACGATTCTCCTCTGAATCTAGACGTTTGGCTGGCATTACGATATCTGTCAAACACACATCCTCGAGAATCTCATTCATTTAATAGTATAACTCATACTGAATCGCATTAAGACTGAAATCCGTCGGTGCATAGGAAGAGATGATGAAAAGACAACGCTTCTCTGGCCAGTGGCTTCTTACTCTAATATAACTTCCTGGCTTTACAATATATAAACGACGTGTAATAGAGTGATGAAGCTTCTGCTCTAGAGCTTACTCTGTCCCCCACATGTACTATGATGAATGACTATGGCACAGGTTCCTAGGGTATACGCACACGCTATTCAGTCTTGCAGATGGAAAAGGTACTTACAACACTTAACTCGGATGTTGTATGCGATTGCCTGAGAATCAGGAAACATCAACAGCGAGGCTATCCACGGTTCTGGCTAGACTTGGTTTTAATGTGTGAATGATGTTGGTGACAAGCTTTCACACGAAACGCAGTTTTAGAATAGCTTCATTAGATGTCGTACTGAAGGTCAGCTTTCTGAAAATTACTAACAAGCAACTAAAATCGGCCTGGGCAGGTTGAGATTTCAAACAATAAGAATCAACTGACAAAAGTGAAGATAACTAAAATATGTATAAATGATAAAAGTAAAACAAGACAAAATATAAGAAGAAAAATATAACGACAAATAATCTAACTGCTGGATATAGGATTGACAAAGTGGTTGTGAGAAGGTGCATGAAGTAAAGTCCTCCACTGATTTTCGCTTCGTGATTTTCAGCGAGGAATTAGATATTTTCATGATATCCAGACCACAGCAGGTTGTTGTCTGAAAGGACTATTCCCTGAATCTTTGACTTAAAGTCTGATTCACAAGGCGGATGTGTAGAGTCCGGGGCTGCATTCCGAAGGTTTACAGCAACCGAAACAAATTCACACACCACTTGTTCCCTTTGGATTTTGGAGCCTAAGATTTTCCATACCCATAAGTCCTGTGATAAACGCGGAGCATTTGCCCTTCCATTTTTGTAAGAACGCACTTCTGCCAAGTGACCACAGTGGCTACGATTTATCTGGTAAAGGTTATGAAGACGCGGTTAAATGAATCAATCTTATGAATTGTGGAGTACTGAAGTGCAATGATTCTGAAACAGGAAATGAATTCCTGGAGGTGTAGCATACAATAAAACTAAGATGACATTTAAATCAGAAGTGACAGGTAATAGAGCGACACTTTCTCCAGTAAGCCAAGAAAGAAAATTCAGGCTAATTTAAAATTCAAACTTAAACGAAACATGTAATAATTCATCAATTCCACAGAAAAAGGAAGATGAATTCATATTAAGTCGTTGTAAAAGGTCAACTGAAAGAAAGCATCTACATGTCACACCAAATAGGATTCACCTAAGGTTTAATACAATCAGTAGCACTTAAACAAATGTCAAAAACTCCAGTTGACATGCCAAAAGAAGACTCATTAAAATATACGGTTCTCAAAATAAACAACCGTTCAAGAAATCGTGTGTACAAAATGTAAAACAAATGTTAAAAGTGACCAAAAACTAATTCCAGGTCAGTCGCCATTCTAAACACGTCAAATATGTACAAACGAAAGATTATTCATATGCGAAATTAAAGTTCCCTCAGAACATCAGACGTATTACTTAGCAACTTCATTCATGAAGAAGAGAAAATAATGAAGGATTTACGGTCCAATTGTCTCTACAAAATAAAAAATTTAAACTGTGATGCGATGTACATCTAACAAAATTTTAGAGAAAATAAAATCAGGGGAAGTGAACACAATAGTGTTTCTGTTCGACCGTCGAGAAGCATAAGAGAACTTGAAAAATCTTTGGCCATAAAATCAAATTAAACGGTTGACTTTGATCATACTAAAATCGTGCAAGAAATTTTTTAAAACATAACGTTTCATAACAGTATTATTTCACAAAAGATAGAATCGAAACTGTCAGAAACAGAATATGATGTGATTCCCTAAATTATCGTTATCAACAGAAATGTGAAAATGTCTCACGGGATTAATACACACTTATGAAATCTAACAGTTTGTTATCTTTATCATTTCCTTTTACTTGATATCAAAAAGACTGCTTCATACAAAGGAACTTTAATTGAGTTGCCACGTATACGCTGAAATTTTGTAAATTCTGGCTTTCTGTTTTCATTTTGATAAACCTATTAGCATAAAATAGCAAAATGCAAGTGGAAACAATTTTGTTTTTTCTCTTATACGTTGAAAAATACAAACTTCTAATAATAACTAATGACTAGAATTGTTCGTCGACTGCATGCGATCTACGCGGATCAAAAAACGAATATCAGAATTTGTGACGTAGTTGTAAAGTAGAAGAAAGCAAACTCCTTTGAAATTTGCTCGTCAGTTTCTACATAGTACTAAACCTTGCCTGAAACAGAGAGATTAAAAACTGAAAAGTTTGGAACAAACCTTCTTTCGGCCAGCTGAGATTTCGTCAGAGACTTGTTCAATGGATAGATTTTCCGTTGTATGTACAGTTTAACTGAAACCCGAAGTCCACAGATATTTCCACGAGGCACGCTACACAATTTCATTATGTTTTAAAACATTCAGAAGAAGCTCGATGCAGTTATTTTATACAGACACCTTGATACTATAAATTTCTGTCCATTTTTTTTATCAATATCAGCACAAAATTACAAACTATGTTATAAATAGTCTTGCCCCGGTACAATACAGACTTTATACCATTTAAAGTCTTATACCCTTCACGTTGATCTATTTGACCTGTAAAACCTTTGCGGCTGTCGTTTTGTATGATTAATCTATCGTAGTTTACTCGCTTACCAGTTATACATCTATACAATGTATTTCTAATAGCACATATATATATCTATTGCAAACCAGTTTAGTCTTACCATAATATCATATCACAGCTCCAAGAATACTGAATTGCTATTATCATCATTCAGTAAATTTACTTTCTCTCAAATATCAATCAGGTGATTCATTAAAAAAACAACGAAAACTAGTCCTAAGAAAAAAAAATGCATGACATGGATTCTGTTCAGTTTGAGTGTCAACAGTTACGTTCAGTAAATCCAACCATGGTTACTGATATGTCAAAGAATCCAAAAATCCTGAGAACAAGAGTATTCACAAGTACTAAGTTCTTGGTTGTAAATAAGAAGTTCAACTCACAACTGCATCATCACCGGACACTTGATATCATATTCAATATGTCACCGGTAACAACTGAAAATACAAATAGTGGAATAGAAGAACAAGTGGTGGTCTCTAAAAATTACATAAATAACAAACTACTCTTGCAACAAGATATTATGGAAGTGAACACGATGGACAGTACAGGATTGCACATGAACCTGGATGATACGAGAATAGATGAGTAAGTCGCAATATATATTAATAAATAAAGATATACAAACAAAGAAATGTTGTTGCATTACTACAGAATATTAACTCAAGGTAATGGTTTTTACATGTTGCTTTAGCTTCGAGATTTGATCATATGACCAGCAGCCTATCAGACTCTAGATCCATACTATGATTCCTGCTCTTTGTCTGAATCAATCTAGCTAAAGGTGTAAGGTTTAATAAGTATAGCACACACTGGATTAATTATGGCTGCTACCCCACTGAATAATTTTTTAATCCTACCTAAATCTCTATACTGAACTATTACTTTAAAGCTAGATTACCAAAATTACAAATGTACATGCAATGAAATTACTTCATAAGTGAATTAGACACAAGATCAGACACCATGCCGAAAAAGTAGATTGGTAAATAAATAGGTAGGATTTCTTCGTCTCTTTCAATACTTTTAAGATGTTTTACTTAAAGTATCACAAACCGTCAGTCAGAGAGTGCATCATTTATAGTATTTCTAAAGTGAATAGTATTACAGTATAAACGACTACAGCAGAGTAAGTAAAGAAGGAATACATGTAGGGAGCTATCTAACTACCTCAAAAATTGCCAGTCAGAAGTTTTTAAAGGTATTATTTTTGCCATATTGAATACAGTAGCTGTGAATCTGCTTCAAATAAAACAACCATTCTGATATAAGCAAAATAGTGACCATGGGAGAAAGTAAGTAAACATTCAAAAAATTAGTGTTAATTTCCCTAAGATTATAAATGTTACTCTTTATTTTTCAGGATAAATATTCCAAGAATCTTCCTAAATCAGAATCTGAACCCATTCGAATGGTCACAGGTTTTATCTAACTCTATGGTACGTCTGAAAAATCAAATGATTTTATTTGAATTAATGGAATAATCCTTCCCACCTTAAAATGGTTAGTTAATGCGAAATATTTGAACCCTCAGTAAATGTGACCAGTATTTAAAATTATCGAGTTTAGGATATTTGTTTATGCTTTCTTAATATCTTTCATAATGGTTGCAGTGTGGTGAAATAATTAGTAGGTGTAGGAAACGGTGCAATATTACTGATGAAAATATAGCATCAGAAAGAAGGCTAACACTCTATGGACACCTAACTGATAAAAGCATTATCTAATGAATTCATAAATTCTGGTAGGAATTATCAGTTCAGCTAATTAACTACTGTTTTTCTGATATTTCTTGCTGGTATTCAGTTCATTAGAGAAAAGAAACGTTTATACACTCATTGGTTTCAACATTCTCAGTCACAACCAGCTAGTGAAAATTTCTAATTCCACCAATTAGTTCTTTGTCACCCTGTAGTTAGTAACTTCATTCTTACAATGTATAGGTCTCAACAGGCACTTGCTAGTAATTTTCTTAGTGATAAGTTATTTCACCCCAGTGCTTCATAAAACTACCACTATAGAGATGGCAGACAAACGTTTCTGACAAGCGCTAAGTTTAAATTCCAAGGTTCCTAATATCTTACTGTCCAACTTTCACAATGTGTCATATTTCACAGTCGCACAGTTTGTTGTTAGAAATCCAAACTTGATTGACGAGATTCCATTTGGAAGAAGGAAAACACGTTCTAACAGTACTGAATATTCGTTGGTTCATTAACATAAGCAAATGTAACTCCGTTAGGGAGAATGAACATTGCAATGCATTGTCTTTTATGCATAGGAACTCTCGTGCAATCACACTCAAAGAGCATGCACTAGGTAAAAGCAGTTATTAATATTAGGCTATAGACAGTTATAATCCCCTTATATATATTTATCAGTCAATCAAAAATGAGCCTCTAGGTAACACCTTAGATATCTCATAACTTACTTGTAAGATTTATAGACCTATCTCTCTTTTTTACAGAATATATCACCAGAAATTATTAAACAAGCCTGGTTCCAAATGATATCAAGCAAAAGTGTCAATTCAAGACTGATAGAGCTTTGTATCGATTCCCTGAAGCAGATATCAGTAAATCTTGTCGATGAAATAGTGAATATAGCTGATAAGAGAGTAAGTGCATTTGTTTCATAATAAAAGTACTTCAACCAATTTCAATATCCATTTATAGACGAACAACTGCTCATGTTTCCTTATTGTACCATACTTATTACAGAAAATTCATCACTTTATCGTATTCTGTATAGGGTAATACAGCTCTGCATTATGCAATAAGTCAGTCGAATTGGCCCATTGTGTATACATTAATGAACAATAGTACGAAAATTGATGTGAACAAGTTTAATCGAGCTGGATACACTCCTTTAATGATGGCTGCAATATGGATAAGTAAGGTAAGTAGCTCCCTTCACGACGTACAGCATATATTGCAATAAATACTCAACTTTGAATTAGAATGTACATGCAGATTACACGGTATAACTAAGACGAAACATTGTAAAGTTCTTCCGGGCTTTTACTGATTCTCTTATCAGCGTCATTTAATGATGTAATCTATTTCATTATAATTTAAGTCTTTTCAAACTGATGCTTAAAAATTGATCGAATTATCTTTGTATCCATTTTTTCTCACAGAACTATAATGCTAAAGAACTGTGTATCTAGTTATAGATAAGGTATATGTCATTAAAGCCTACCAAACGCGAATGAACTTTCCCAATAATGCACGTGTGAAAGCTAATCATTCGGCTTTGTGTTTTTGTAACTGAAAACTGTAGATAAATAATGTTGGTCATTCCTCTTGAGGCTATGCTGATGAAGTAAAAAGTTTAAATGGTTTACGTAAGTCCTGTGAGCCATCAAAGACTAAAAATTCGACTATTTTGAGAAATATGAATAAGAACTAGTAACCTCCAGTTCGTTAGCTTAATACACGAACAAACCTAGAAGTTGGTTGAATTACAGTATTTCTGAATATCCACTTGGCTAAGTATCTGAATTAACCAGTTGACGGGTTAATGCGTTATTTTGGGTGACTTTGAGCTATACCAACAAAATTCTGTAATCACTGGTTACTAGAATTCTACACACCTCAGTCAGGTAACTCACACGTCTCTACGTGGTTCACATCAATTTTCAATGACTCCATGGACTCATATCATGTTTCGGCCTGACCATCCAGCTAACATTACCTGTAGAGCCCGGAATACGTAACGAATGTCCAAATCACTGAATTAGACCTAACTATATAACTGAGATGAAGAGAGAGATTAATCACTGAATCTTTGTTCATAGAATGAATACCAAACATATCCAATTGAAATGACTAAAAGACAATATGGAATATATATTGAAAAATTTCAATAAAAAGCAGAGGGGAGTAAAACTATGTACAGCAAGTTAAGAAACCGTGTGAATACATCGATATGATTATGAGCAATAAATAATGCTTGAGACGTCATCCAAATATATATATATATATATATCTTATCATACTGCTTAAATCCTGCTTCTACATTCGTTTTTTCTAACTTTGGTTGTTGTTTACTGAAGTGTGGCAATGTCGTTTACAAAAGTTTGTGCCACATTCTGAGTCAAAAACGCAATCCAGTTCGAAAAGCTGTGAATTTAAGAATCTCAAATGCCATACTTGTCAGGCAAACTCACCAGCAGTTATTACAGGAGGACACGTCTCCATCAACATAATCTGCCAAGGCTGTTAGACTATATCAGTCGTTAATAATTCATTAATATCGATTTCAAATACTTCCTAAGTTAAAGCATCTGGTTTTGCATCGTATGTCATTTGGGTCCTCACAACTGTGGTCCTAGTAGCGGATTGATATCCACGTCCAACTGAGGAGGGGGATTGGATACGGGGATGTATCGTCTTTTTTATCGCAAGTTCAATACCAAGCTGAATACAGTGCCAGGATGATATTTACTGTAATGCTAAGATAAAAGTTTAGTAAACTCTCTTCTAAATACAGAACTATTTTTGTTCACACAAGAGGTGGATATGTGAAGTCATCAAAGCAGTTGGCTTTACAGCTAACATGTGCAAACTAATGGACGGTCAGAAACCATTTCATTCTCCTCCGATTTACTGAACAGAGAAATAGAGCAACCAATAGTTTAAGCAAACCACAAACAATATTCTACATAGTCATCACACATCATGTATAAACAGATATTATAATATCTGCACATCAGTCAAGTTCATTCTTGTTTGAATTAATTTAGTTCCTATTGGCGATGTTGAATGCCAAGTTGTCTAACATTACGTGTTTCTTCCACTAAACCTAATTAATCTGACTTTATTTCACGAATTAATGGACTTAATCCGTAATACAACTGCAATATTCAAAAATAAAACCTGTTAACGCGGAAAACACATAGAAAAATGACGGTTTAGTGGGTCTGGGAGATCACAAACAGTGAGTGCATATGAGCCGTTGAGAACCATTCTCAGACATTTCACCAATAGTCTCCAACCATTGGTTCTTAGCTTCCTAATTAGGCACTCTGCACCTCCATACGTAACTCAAACCAATTGTCAAAGACTTCATTGATTGATGCCACATTTTGGTTTGATCATTCCTCATTATTTACCAACGTAATCCTATGTCAGCTAACATTTCTCGACGATAAAATTGATGGCTTCGTATGCGCAACATGTGTTCTAGCCATCTCAATCGGTGTAACTGCATAACCTCATCAATTGACTTATTCTCCTGATATTACACTCTACGCCTAACTTCATTACTACTAATCACCATACTATAATACTTAACGCGGAGCATCGAAAGTAGATATCTGTGGTCAAAGGCAGCTATTCTTTTCATATCTTCCACTTTCAATGACCATGTGTCCTACAGCTGTAAAGGAGAAGAGAACAAACTGCTGAGCAGTATGCGTGTCCTTTGATCGATTAGTCGGATATCACGTCGACACGAGATGACGCAGGTTATTTAGAGTCTTTCGTATCCGTGCTGAGATCTCGTCTTCAATTAGTTCACTGCGGCTAATACAACTTCCCAAATAAGTGAAGCGGTCAACACATTCAACTTCCTATCTTTAAACTAGGAGTCGGTACAGGCTGACCAATCCTACATTATCATCTTACATTTGACAGGAGAAAATCTCATGTCAAACATTCGAAGATTGCTGACTGTCAAGGTGTTCAGAAGACTCTGCACTTATCAGCGTCATCACCCGCATATTCTAAGTCAGCAAGACTATTCCCTAAGTCGCTAATGTACATTACAGTCAACTCCATCATTACATGTATGCTGAGATTAAACGAGAATGGGGACAGTGGGCATCCCTCACTGACGCCACCAGTTGTCATCCCTTCAGATGGAAACTGTTCGGAAACTTATACTCAGCTGTGTGAGTTCGAGTAGAGTGCCTTGATCAGTGCAATGCATTTTCTCGCCACTCCCTTCACAGTCAAACATTGCCTGTCGGCCGACAGAGTGGAATGCCTCCTTCAGCTCGAGAAATACGGCTATTGTTGGATGCTAGTAAGTATCCCTATGTTCCAGAATCTGTTAAAGGATGAATATTTGGCCAATACACCCCCTCCCTGGTCTAGAGCCTGCTTGGTTTCCTTAGGTTTGTTTCTTCCGAGTGCCACTTAGTCTACCCATGATCACTGGACCTAGAACTTTGAATACTATGCTAGTTAAGCTAATTCCCCAATGACTATAACACAAAGACATGTCTCTTTCAATAAAAACTGGGATAATCAATGACCTACGCCAGTCTAATGGAACTACATCCGATTACCAGAAATTATTTAACATTTTGGTTAACCGCGATGACACTTCCTCACCACCGTCCTAAGACGTCTCCGGAGACAATTCATCATTTCCTGATGCCTTATCTCGTTTAAAATTGGAGACATCCTTTGTAACCTCAGTTACAGATAGAGGACTGATGTCTACATCTTATTCAAGTAGGTAGTGGATGGTGGGAGAGTTGAGCGTGTCTCATAACCCATCAGCATTCATTTGGAAGGCAAATAGATGTAGAATAATTTCATTTAAAATTAGCCTGTCTAACATGACAAACTTTTTCATCTTAGCCTATTACAAAAGAAGATACAGCGACGCTGGATATGGTTGTTTCTAGAGCCAACTTAAAATTGATATCACAAAATGATTGCAAGCGAACTGTACTGATTTTGGCTGCGATTTACGGGTGTGAAACAATCGTTTCTAGTGTTCTCACAAAGCGGAAATCTCTCATAAATCAAAGTGACGCAGGAGGCAGCACTGCTATTATGTGTGCTGCAGAACACAACCATTTAAATATAGCCACGGCTCTTCTGGGACAAAGTAAGATCAATTTACAATTAAAAGACATAGTAAGTTTACGTTCTAACTGAGGTTGTTGTTATGATTTTTAGTATTCAAGAGTTTTATGATAACATATATTTTGTGAAAGCTTTTTTTGAGATGCTAAACATTGGCATGGTCAATAACAGATACATGAAGGACTGGACAGAATTTCCAAAGCAGGCCTGGCTACAAATCTAACAATCAAAAGTTGCTTACTTCGGACCTTTCACACTCATGTATTGGTATTCACATAAAAGCGAAATAATTTATTCTGCCTATCCGTAGGGAAGCTTTGAACATGATCAAAAACAAACAGGAAGATGTGATAACTCAACAGTATCCTTCACATCTCATAATAGAAAATGTACAATCATCTCTTAATATAATCTAACAGAAAGACTAGGACAATTAGAACATGAATAGCATTTTCACCAGTTTAGTGTAATAATAATATTGTAATACCAATTATTAAAATAAAGTTAAACTTGTTAATCATAAATTGCACTTAAATTGAGTGATTGTAAAATTATGCTTTGTTTTTAGAATGGCCGAACAGCGTTGGAAATAGCAATTGCTAAACAGAATTATTTAATAGCCTTACTTATTTACGCTAAGATTCAGGTACAAAGGCTAAGTACATCATATTACCGGTAAGTTGTATTAATAATTACATATCCTAAGCCCACTTTGTAAAACAAGGCAAATAGCTTAAAAATACTAAATTTCTTTATTTAAGATTATACTACGAAAGAGGACTTTCTCTTCTCCAGGATTTTGTAGAAAAAAGCAGATGAGTGTTTTTCAATTCATGACAGAATATTGGTAGTGAGATCATTTATTCTATCTATCCGTAGGGAAGTTTTGAACAAGTTGGAAAGGAAACAAAAAGACATGTGACAACTTAACAGCCTGACAGAATGTTAGCTAAAAAAATGACCTTGATGTGCTGAAAATCAATGAAGTCTGTCAATTGTCACTGGTTAAATCAGGTTTTTGCACTTCGCTATGAAAATAATAAGAGAACACTGGAGACGAAAGTAACGCCTAACACAATAAACTATTCACTGTGAATGCTTAGTGAGGTTATCTACATTAAGCATAGAGATGTCAGGATAAATCCTGTCTTTACTAATGTAATGGTTAAAACTTCCACACCTCATACATGCAAACCAAGTGGAAAATAAAAGGAAGAAATACAATATAATTGAAAGTCGTAATAAGGAAAACCGAGTCTGTTTCGAACGCATGCCGAATTGTGCTTCATTGTAACACCAATTTTAATTACAGATAATTCACTTAGGGTTGGCTGTTTGGTTGGTTGTTTGCAAAGACTTTCCCAACAATACAGAATTTTTGTAAAGCAGTCATACTGGAGAGCATGTTAAGTCAAACCTCATGAGTAGTAGATACTATAGTCAACATTTCTGAAGAAAACACTGTGAAGGTGAACAATGTTGAGGTATATATATATATAGAGAGAGAGATAAGCAACACTGACTTCCACATTAACCGTTGGTGACTGAATCATTGGAGAAACGTGTTTAATTCACATCCATGCACTGACAGTACAAGTCAATTGGCTTTGTTTAAATAGGCAGTAGCTTGTACATAATGTACCCTTTTAACAGACGGTTGTTAGAAAATTACTGATAGTATGAAATTCAATTCATCATCATGGAGACTAAGGACGGAAAAATATTCATTTGCTGATTCCGTAGTGTCTGGAAAATAAGTTATCAAATTACTGCTTTAAGTGCATAGTGAATGCTAGTACATAAAAAAAGTCGACAGATCTATAATCCCAGCATGTGATAGTAGACATGACAATTTCGGGTACAGCATTTTCATTTACGTACAGACATAATTACGTACCCTGTTGTAGATAGTGGGTTCATTTTAAGCTATTGCAATTAAGCTTTATGCTTTTCAATATTCTATCAACACTTTACCTTGATGACGCTTCACATTGTAACAAATCTCATTTGAGAAAAGGCTCACAAAATCTGAAGTGCACTACAACACTTGCGCCGCAAATGAAGAGGCAGATTACTTAATTTTATAGTGAACAATACATAAGTGGTGAAAGTTGACGATACTAACTAGATAACTAAAGCTTGTTACGGGGAGAGGAGTTCAGACATGTGACTTACTATCTAAGGCGTAAGTACTTATACTAAAGAGCTATAGATTCATGAGAACACTACTGTCTAAAATACACAATATAATCAGTAACGTGATGCACGTAAATTCCGTTGAAAAAATAATCACTGGATAACACAAACTACAACAAAGTGAAATTTGCGTGATGTTGGTCCTTCGTTCTTCGAAATAGTTTGAAACTGACTTAGTTTAAGTATGGAGATTAGAATCTCAAAGTAGTATGCGAAAGTATTTGGGTGTTAGTCTGATTTCAGTGGTTGTAATCCGACTAGCCGTCTGTAAGATTGGCAGAAGAAAACTAAATATTCAAACTAAGGGGACAGAAACACTTCGGATCATCTTCAGTGGCAGAATAGATATTAAATGCGCATGGAATTTTTAACCTAGTCAGAATCACCAAAAAAGATCTAAACATGGAGAAGATACAGAAAGCCAATCGGAAAGAATCTGAAAACAGGTAATCAGAAAACCGCACATTAAAGAACTAATAGCTAATAAAAAAGTAGTACGCTTCTGATAAATAAAAAAACAAACATAAATATGTTAAAAAGAGTGGTATGGAGGATTTTATCACAAGCTGACATCAGTTAGAGAACCCCTGGAAAACATGGGAGTACTGGACAGCTGTTTCGCCCTAGTTTGGGACTCTTCAGTAGTACGAACCCACCGGGATTCGAACCCAGGACCTTCTGGTTACAAGGCGAGCTCGTAGACCATTGAGCCACTGGGACCCGATCCAATGGTCCTTGTAACCAGAAGGCCCTGGGTTCAAATCCCGGTGGGTGCGCACTGATGAAGAGTCCCAAACTAGGACGAAACAGCTGTCTAGTACTCCCAGGTTTTCCAGTGTTTCTCTAACTGATGTCAGCTGGTGATGAAATCCTCCATGCTATCAAACGAAAAATCCCTACAAAACCAATACTTAAAAAGAGTGGTAATCAACAACATGTAGCAACATCTCTGTTTCTCATAGGAACATCCATCGTGAAATCATATTCTGTGCACGAATTCCTACAAATAAGTATAGGTCATTAAGTTCCAGAGTCCACTCGCTTTTTGGATTTTGTGAGATACAGGTGCGTTCACCGAAGTGTTGTAAACTCTAAAAGTTTTTAGACGTACACAATTTACTTTTTTTCAATTGTATATGAATGGAAGTGATACCGTAAAACGTGATCTAGATAACCATTAGAGCAGGATTTTTTCTTGCTTCAGTATCCATTTGTTTTCATCTGAGAAATTAGTTACTGAGCAGAGATAAACTGAAGTAGTTTGTGAGAGAACGATGCATGAAATTAGAATCGATATTGTAGGCAATGCTACGCACAAGTCTATTAATTGTTTCCCAGCTTTACTTGATATGCAACTCGACATTTCTTAGCCACGTGGGTCTAAACATATAGTAGTACTTTGTCAGTTAATAATTATAATAGTAATGATAATAATAATATGTTACATCACAAATCTAGTAGTAAGTTGGGCAGAAAACTCAAGAAAATACAATTTAAAGATAAAACAACTATATAATATCTCGTTGATAATGATTTCTTTTGTTTTTAGATTCGCTTAAAAATTAAAGAAGAAAATACAGAAGAACTAATAGATGTGAATGTAAAAAGATTAGTAACTAAGTGGTATTGGTCGGAAGATGTAATTTGAATCAAAACTTAACACATAAATTAACATTACGACTGATTGTATATGTAAAAATGTACTTAAAAAAAGAATAACAGTCTTTTAAAATCCATAAAGCAAGGAAATAAATTAGTGCTAAGGATAAGAACAAATATTTAATGAAGATTCTGATATCAAGAGAAAGCATTTCAGTACACATAGAAATTAATACCAATCGCAGATTGCTTAACAAAACATGATTTATGTAAGTGTAGACGTGAGATTAAATCTTTAAGGAGGAAATGGGTAATATTCTACGTGATCAATGCTATGAAAAATGTCTAAGTTAAGTTAGTATTGTACATCCTTTATCCGTAATTGAAATGGTATGTTCAAACTGAGCTGTCAAAACTCTGTCACTAGTAACTACTGTCCATCCGTCTTCTAAAACAACAGGAATTGCGAACCTTGTATTGGATTTAAATTTAGTAGAGGAAAGTGCAATACACGGTTCCACAGTGAATGCATGTCCAGGAAGCATACGTACAAGTGGTTGAGATACGGATTCATGGATTGAATGCACTATCTCCGGAGGACCATGTAAAAACGAACCAATTCCATGCCCACATACACCTGCTACAACCCGACACTGAAATGCATTCGCACAATTAGTGATTGCCTCTGCGATAGATGTGTAAAGAGCATTTGGACCACAAACGCTAACACCAGCATCAAGACATTTTTTGGCCACAGTACACAAATATGTTGCAGTTTTCATCCGACCGACAGTTTCAGAATCTGAATGATAAAGTTGGTCATCCAAACCAACTACAAAAGTTTGACAAGCATCACCATGAGCGTAACCATTGTAAACTGATATATCTACAGATATAATATCACCAGGGTTCAGTATTTTTGATTTTTCAGGGATCCCATGACAAACTACTTCATTGACCGATGTACAAACTGATCTATAATATTTATTAGAAAGCAAAAAGTTAACCATATAATACAAAAATAGACAATAGTCTAAAAATAAATCACAACATAACAGATGCACACTTTCAACACAAAACCAAGAGTCTTAGTGTTGCAATTCAGGTTTATAAAAGCTATAATAGACTTACATAGAAAAATAACAAGTCAAAGAAGAGAAAACAGAATTATCAGAAATGGTAGGGAGATGAAACTAGTCAAAAAAGAAGACGATAGAAAACATGTGGGATTGTGGCAAATAAAGAGGCGTAAACGCATTTCTTTACTATAAGAACAGAATTAGGTTATTGTGGTAGAGCACAATTACATAACAGAATAATTTTATTTGAAATAGTGCACAGTGATACAGCATTATTTATTTACATCAATATATATGTAAAACCTGGACACTATGGTAGTATGTACTTCTGTATTAATTTGTTTATTGGATATAGCACAGTAAAACAGTATTATATACCACATGACTTTTTGAACACAATTTATTGTTCATAATCATGTCAACTGATATAAAATGCCATCCAGTAAATAATACTGTTTCACTGTGTGATATATTCTATGATATTACATATTTCTGTTTATTCATGAATTCGAACGAAGTCGCTAAATTCTACCAACTCTGCGTCAACTTCGTCTGAGAGTGTGTTAGAGTTTTATCACTATCCTGGTAATACACTATGGGATATCATCAGAATTTTTCAGAGTAAGAAATGACGTCGCAACCCATTAACCATTTAGATAGTTCATCTCAACGGAACCATAGGTTACGCAGCATTACAACAATTTATACTGTGAACCTCTAGATGCGTAATTCTTTAAATTGTTAGTAATTTTACTACTGGCAATTTACACTGCAATCAAGCAGCTGCATGATAGAATGAATGGATACTGAAACGCTTATTGCTTGATTTGTTGGATAAAAGCTATTGTATGCAATTCTACGGTACAATCACAAGGTTAAAAACCATGGGTAAAATCTCAAAACAGTAAACTCACTTAGGGAAACCTCGATACCCTAGTGGTGAAGGGTAAACCGATTTATTCAAACACTGGTCAAATATGAAGTCGTCAATATCCTGGGTAGATAAACCTGCTGTGATATATCCTTTAAGTGCGTCAAATATTTGGCGAACAACTGCACCAGCTCGTTTCAATTCCTGTAAACTATGTTCATTATGAACAATTATTGAAGTTGGTGTAGGATCAGTCTTACAAGTGATGTAAGGAGGTAGTGGGATATATGATGGAATGCTGCGACCATATATGTGAAGGTGACGAATATTGTTTCTCAGCAAATTACGAATTAAAAGAACCATTCTGAAGTTGTTAGTGGTACGTTAGTAATACTTTAGACAGCCTGAGACAAGTATACCAACTCTTTAGATCTCACACTAGATTTGTCTTGATTTCCTTGAAATTTGAAGATGGTAATTCCAGCTACAGAATACGGGAAAGAGTGAGAAGAAAAAGTAGCTGTCGTCGCAAATCTACAGACTAATAAAGCTGATATTTTATTGTCAGAAAACTCGAGATGTTGAAGCGTAAGTAAGTCGATAGCAGAGAGAAAAGCGACTGAATCCTTTTTATTTATTTTTATTACAGCTTGATGCCACACCGTATTTTCAGTACAGGTATGGAATTTTCAGCATGGATATCGGTAGCCCAATTCTGCAGGCCGACCATAGATATCGGGTGTGCGTCGGCAGCGGGTCGAACCCCGGACCATGTGCATGGTCAACGAGAGTCCTAACCACTGTGCCACCGATATGTTCACCGTCACTATATTCTCTCCTTTGAAAGTATTTACTCTGGAACAAAGGAATTATGTAGGTGAAATTATTGTGAATGATCTTGAATCTAGTTCATACCATTAGTGAATATGAACTGATGGAAAACTGAGTCCAGCAACCAAAAGTACACAGAATCACGGTTATACTTGGCGAAGATATATGGGATTCTTGAGAGAATTAGATAAATAAAGTAAACGAACACTGGAACACCAAATTTACTTTGAATTAGCAGGAAAATACTGAAGTTTTCAGTGGAAGGTCAGTAGAATATGGAATTTTGAAACGCAGGATCGGTTACATTTAGACATCACGTTTCAGTCACTTACATAATGTATAATCTTAGTCACGTTTTTCTAAAAATATACCTACATTTTCTGATGATTACAGGCTACAATACTTATTAGCAGATAGCAACTTAAAAATTTCTAATCAATATTTCCTTGAATATCAAGACAATCTCTTATTTAAGTGGGCTGACAGAGAACACGCGACCAGTAAAAGAGAATAAATGGTGGATGCGTCTATATCACTTTCAGTGATTCCAGACTGTTACCTAGGACTTTCATTCACCATTTCCTAAGAACTAGACGATTTCATCCAGAAGGCCTGAACTTTTCTCCATAGACTGGGCTATTAATCAATGTCCTCACCAAAAGGTAAAATAAGTGACTAAATTGGGTTTCCGTGTGTAGAACTCTTATACCTGCATTTAGCAGACGTGAACATCAATGTGTAAATTGAGAGAAGCATATTACAAAGAACCTGTACATAGTCTAGGGAAGAACTGGATAAGTGCTAAGAATACATACCTACTATTATCACTAAATGTTATAATAATATTAGGCTACATAAGCCTGAAAACGAGTAAGATTCAAAAATGGTTACTACAAAGGACTGGAAAGTATGACTTAATTCATGTAAGTTTACATTTTGTGGTCTGGTGTTTCAAAGACAAAGAACCGAGAACACAAGTTTAAACAATAAATTTGATTAATTAAACATTTGATACTAAACTTGGAGAGAACTGCAGATTAAGTGCTTATGTAATAAGTGCAATTAATAGAGAGTGGTAACATTTCAATGGAGAATATGACGGATATTAGATTCGAAAAATCTGTTTTTACTAATGTCTCTGTATCCAACTTCCTTTATCAAATGAGAAAGTTGTAAATAATATTCAATTTTGTTTGATTATCAAAAACATGGTTTAAAAACAAATGCGTTCTAATTATGTTGCTAATAGAACGGAAGAGTTCATTATAAACTCTTAAATTTAGTAATTGAAGCACCATATACAGTTGTTTACCTAACTTAGATCAACCATATTTCACTAAATATATTTTAAAATCTGAAATAAACACTAACAATAAGTTCACATCAGTCACATTAATCGATTTTAAAGGGAGATTTTATATGATATATTATACGATAGAAGTTTTCAGACGGGTTGCACGTAAAGAATATTTTACTAATGTCTTACTGGATCACATATGGTTGCATAATGATTTGATTTCATAATCTGTTTTTCAACGACGCCTGCCTGACGGGTCTTCATCGAAAACGTATAGTAAAAAATAGCCGTTCCCTATATTTAATTCACTATTACTTATCTTCAGGTTATTTGTAAAAGTCTAGATGCACTCATTTGATCCACATACACAAATACAGACAGTTAAAAAGCCGTCTTTTCCCGTATAATAATTTTCTTCGCTAGTTTTACATAACTATATTTATGGGACTGCTATTGAAATAGGGTTTCCTAAAAAATACCTCTGTTATGATGAAGACAAAACCGCTCCCCATGGCTTTGAAATAGTAAACAGTTCAAAGTTGTACGCGTCACTTTAGTCAGACCCATCAGGAATGTAAAACATTGACAATACAGAGAATTTCACAGTAATAAGTCTGATGCTGGCAATGCTCACCCTTCTAAATGAAAGTAGTCTTGGGTGTGTATAACAAACATTACTAGGAGATTCTGACAGAGAATGTCTAGAAAATTTTATACTATCTTCTTTAATTCAAGGCAATGAAAAATTGCCCTTTGAATTCTGAGAACAACGTTCCAAGTTTTTAGTCTTTAAAGCTATGTTTATGGATATAAGTCATAATTAACTGGAATGCATACAATTGGGAAACCTAATGCAGACGTTAGTGAATCTTACGTTTTTTT